CTAAATAATTATATAAAAAATAATCTTACCTTCCTTGTTTTGTGAATTAGATGTGCCTAATACTAATACTATGCAAATAAATCAATATATGTTGACTAGTGCTGTCTAATGTCAGACAAAATGTGCTAAAGTGGTGAATTGTACGGTTAGGAAGTAGTTCATAAACGATACATTGGTCTACTCGATACTTGCAAGGCTAAAAAAGAGGGATGGGATCGGGGTCGGCTCGGGAAAAATCTTGAAAGAGACAACAAAGCGCCTATGTACCACCGCCCATTAAAAAACTTACTCAGGGGAGATAATTCCAAGTATAGGCCTTAAAAGTTTACTATGATATTTCTTGTAAAAGTAAAAAACAAGTAAACGTATATAAAAACAAAGTTTCTAGTATTATATTCTTTTTTATTATTTGTAGGATTCAAGATAGTACAGAATACAAATTCAACCACTATCACAAACACATATTAACATTGAAAAATGTACAATGGATTTCGGCGGGTCCCTAACTTATGCCGCAAAGTAGAACCGCGCATCATGAAAGCCACTTCATATGTAGCGGCTTCTCGTGCTATGGTCTTTGTTGTTTTTTTTAAAAAGAATTTTGCCGGCGACAGCGTGTGTTTGATTGTGGGGAAATAGAACTCGGCCTTGACAGCCTTAAAAAATACAACTATAAATAAAAAGAAATTTGATCCCCATCCCCTGCCCCATCCGCCACAGTACACTTTGGAGGATCGGTCAAACAGTTACGTGTCCTCTATTTAGCTATCAAAGGGGGGCAACGAGTCAAATGTGTCATTCAAATTTGAAGCGTTGCCTATATTTTACACTGTATTTTGTGTAATGGATTTTATTTTTTTGCTGAAGAGCGTGGTATAGTGACTGTAAAATAAAGATAGTCGTACCGCAGCTACAGTGTTTTTCTTTTACAAACTAAATATCAAGGCAAAAATGCACGAAAATTAAATTCAAAATTAAAAAAAAATACTAATTATGGTCAGCAGTGGGCCCCTAAACGGCCTGCCCCCCCCCCCCCCCACCCGCCCCCCCCCCCCACCCGCATTGCGGGGTCTGGCGGCACTGTAGTTCCGCCCCTGTATAGATCTTTTGGTTATTTTTAGGCTTAAAAGCTAGATCATTGTATCCTAAAAAATTTTAACTTTAATGTATTTAGTGTTAATAACTAATGTTCCATTAATATGTGTACTAATTATAAAACGATTAATAATATAAAGACGAGTCTTACCTTCCTTGTTGTGTGAATTAGATTCGTCAACGAAATACTTCATAAGGTAAATGAACAACTACCGACTAGTGTCTTTAACAAAATGTGCAGAAGTGGTCAGTTTACAGTTCAGTAGTTCATAAACGGTTCGTTAATCTATGCATTACATCTTATTGTAAAAGTAAGGGTGTGGTGAGGGGTAGAGGTTAGGGGGATGGGGGGGGGGGAGGGTAGAGAGTTGGGGAGGTTCAAGGGAAGGGGACAAGAAAGCGTCGATGAACATCTACATCAATAGCGCCGACTTTTTCCGGTCGTCTAGAAGACCAGGATAGTCGCCGCAACATTTCCCCAGCTCGATTTTCAAAGCTTTTTTGTTCTCCTAATCGACGCCACTAAAAAAGAACGGTAGGTTGCGTCTTTGAAGTTGTCTATATGTCTGGCGGTCTCTCGAGCTATAGTCTGTGCATTTTTCTCAAAGACGTTTGCCGACTATCGTGTTTGTTTGTAACTGTAGAAGAAAGATAACTCGACATCCACCTAATTTTTTTTATTTAAATTTAAAAAAAAAAGTATAATTTAGCCAGGATTTTTGGGCCCCCAATCCGCCTGGGCCCCCCCGCATTGCGGGGTCTGGCGGCACTGTAGTTCCGCCCCTGGTGTCTGTGGGTGTATAACCTATATGTATGCGTGTGTGTGAGCAATGAATATGGAAAATGACGCCTTTCTCAGTCAGTGTTTCTTCCAGACTTTTTTCTCGGGGGGGGGGGGGGGGGCACTTGAAATTTTGTGGGGGGGGGGGGGGGGGGCGGTAGACTTTCTTCGGGGGGCAGAGCCCCCCCCCCCCCCCCCCCAAGAGATGCCTGGAAGAAATTGTTCTCAGTTCAATCTGCAGTATGTCCTACTAAAGTCAACGCCACTTGTATCAAGACTATACTCAAATCAATGCTGCATATGCCCTTGTCACAAAGCGCCGTGTGTCACTCTCCCCACCGTCTGCTGTAGGGAACCACTTACTCCCCACCAACCGGATGTCCCTCTTAGCGTCTCGACCGCTAGCTTCCGCTACGTGCGCGTTAAGAACATTCACACTAGAATTTCCCGCCTTTTTTTCTCCTAACCAAGTGCCTTGCTGACTCCAATTGTTTCAGTTCTAACCGCGAGGATGGCTGCATAACTTTTTAAATGGCATTGCTTCAGAGTTTTTTCAGGCATCTATTCCACTGTCTCGTCCTAAACACCCCCCCCCCCCCTGAACAAAATAGTAAAAATATATTTTATTTAGAAAATGTATTCTTGGCTAGTGTACTCCTCCGCCATCCCTCCCCGGAAATTTAAGTTTGCCTCTTTTAAAGTTTTAAGTGCCCATCTCCCCGGAGAAAAAAAAATGTCTGAAAGAAACATTTGCTTGGAAGAAATAAAAAATTAATTTTAGGTTAATATTTGGCGTTCTATAGAAAGAGTGATAAAAATGGCTGCTTATTTGAAATAAGGCAAGCTTAGTAATGAATGAGTCTTGCTAGACATTGTGCATGTAAGCAAGATGTAGTGTAGTGTGTGTGTGGGGTAAGTCCTTTAATTAATGTGTAGGTGTGGGGTAAGTTGAAGTAAGTCCTTTAATTAATGTGTAGGTGTGGGGTAAGTTGAAGTAGGTCCTTTAATTAATGTGTGGGTGTGGGGTAAGTTGAAGTAGGTCCTTTAATGAATGTGTAGGTGTGGGGTAAGTTGAAGTAGGTCCTTTAATTAATGTGTAGGTGTGGGGTAAGTTGAAGTAGGTCCTTTAATTAATGTGTAGGTGTGGGGTAAGTTGAAGTAAGTCCTTTAATTAATGTGTAGGTGTGGGGTAAGTTGAAGTAGGTCCTTTAATTAATGTGTGGGTGTGGGGTAAGTTGAAGTAGGTCCTTTAATGAATGTGTAGGTGTGGGGTAAGTTGAAGTAGGTCCTTTAATTAATGTGTAGGTGTGGGGTAAGTTGAAGTAGGTCCTTTAATTAATGTGTAGGTGTGGGGTAAGTTGAAGTAGGTCCTTTAATTAATGTGTAGGTGTGGGGTAAGTTGAAGTAGGTCCTTTAATTAATGTGTAGGTGTGGGGTAAGTTGAAGTAGGTCCTTTAATTAATGTGTAGGTGTGGGGTAAGTTGAAGTAGGTCCTTTAATTAATGTGTAGGTGTGGGGTAAGTTGAAGTAGGTCCTTTAATTAATGTGTAGGTGTGGGGTAAGTTGAAGTAGGTCCTTTAATTAATGTGTAGGTGTGGGGTAAGTTGAAGTAGGTCCTTTAATTAATGTGTAGGTGTGGGGTAAGTTGAAGTAGGTCCTTTAATTAATGTGTAGGTGTGGGGTAAGTTGAAGTAGGTCCTTTAATTAATGTGTGGGTGTGGGGTAAGTTGAAGTAGGTCCTTTAATTAATGTGTGGGTGTGGGGTAAGTTGAAGTAGGTCCTTTAATTAATGTGTGGGTGTGGGGTAAGTTGAAGTAGGTCCTTTAATTAATGTGTAGGTGTGGGGTAAGTTGAAGTAGGTCCTTTAATTAATGTGTGGGTGTGGGGTAAGTTGAAGTAGGTCCTTTAATTAATGTGTGGGTGTGGGGTAAGTTGAAATAGGTCCTTTAATTAATGTGTAGGTGTGGGGTAAGTTGAAGTAGGTCCTTTAATTAATGTGTGGGTGTGGGGTAAGTTGAAGTAGGTCCTTTAATTAATGTGTGGGTGTGGGGTAAGTTGAAGTAGGTCCTTTAATTTAGGTGTGGGGTAAGTTGAAGTAGGTCCTTTAATTAATGTGTAGGTGTGGGGTAAGTTGAAGTAGGTCCTTTAATTAATGTGTAGGTGTGGGGTAAGTTGAAGTAGGTCCTTTCATTAATGTGTGGGTTGGAAATGTAGCCAACAGTGCCTGCCTGACGGGGCCTGTTATAGGGTCTGGCACTGATTCTCTGTTTAAAAAGACCCATCCCCCAAACGAAATGGAATTTATATTGAAAATATATACTTTTAACAGTGTCCGCCCCTCCCCCAGGAAATTTAAGTCCGCCCCCACCCCCGAAAATTTCAAGTCCCCTTCCCCTGGAGAAAAAAGTCTGGAAGAAACACTGATGTCAATGTGCCAGTGCCCGTCACCAATTGTGTGTCAGACATGATGTCTGTCAATGTGCCAGTCACCAATTGTGTGTCAGACATGATGTCTGTCAATGTGCCTGTCACCAATTGTGTGTCAGACATGATGTCTGTCAATGTGCCTGTCATTGTGACGACCATCATTCGCTCAGTCGTTGTCACATCTTTGAAACATTGCTACACAGAAATTCTTCAGATCTTCATAAAGGTCTGTCTGTCATGAGACATTATGATTTCATAGACTGGAACAGTCGATTTGATTTGTCAAACATTCTTTATTTTTAAAATCTCAAAGTTTTATTTTTTCTATTATGTGATAACACAACGATAACAACATTTAAAACTAGTTGTAATACAAACAACCGGCTAGTTATAATTAGCCGTATATAGCCGAATAGTAGTCTTAAATCGCATTAGACCAAATCAGTTTAAAAAGCCCAAATTATTATGCTGTCTGACACATTTCGGTTGGAGGAAAAATCTTTTACATACGACGTGGTGAAACTGGTGTCTGGGGTGGGGCCGAGGGAGGGGGGAGGAAACTGCTCCGGACACTCTTGTGGGGGTGGCGACTCCACTGACCCCCACTGCAAGTCTCTCCAAGTCTTCAAGTGCTCAACTTATCCAGGCGACGGCGAAAAACGACTTAAGGTTTACATGTCTTGCCACAACTTGGGAAAACTTCGCATTCACAGCCATTATCGGATAATTTTAATATCGCATTTTACAGTCTTTCATGGATCGTGAGCTTTTGTTTTAACACAGTGTTTTAACACTTTTTATTTAACATAGGCCTATACAGTTTTGAAAACTAAAAAGTGAATATACGATTTGATTTTAAAATGGTATTGCTATTTCGAGACAGCTATAATCTCTGAATGAATTACAATTTATTTTTAAGGCCACTAATTAATTAAGAAAGTTTGTGGACAAAGTGCAGATGTTTTCTATTCAAATTTCAAAGTGAATGTTTAAAATTGAAACATTTTTTTTAATAAAACAATTTCAACCAAACGAATGTATTCAATTGACTGATAATAAGTTAATTGAATTAATTAATTACCTAATTTACTTGATTATTGAGTTCGTTGGCGTCTTTTCTTACGGCGCACGTGTAAGATGATGCGCGTACAAGCAAGATGTGTAGTATGGGCTATCATCTCCAGCTTTTTCCTGGTGTGTTGGACGACAGCTGACACAGACGCCAGCACCACAGTAGCCGTTAACGACGGTGACGCTGATGGGGTATCGGACCCAGACTCCACAGACCCCACTACACCTGTGGCAGACGCTGCCGGAGTCTCTGGCACACCGTTCACCGACTCCCCGGGGGTAACTTCCGTGGCAGGTACAGCTAGTGTCTCTAGTGTACCACCTGTAGACAGCTCACCGTCTTCTGAGGAAACAACAAGCACTAGGATGACCACTGATCTGTTGTTCACGGACTTTGGGGGTGGGGAGAACATTACTGGAGCGTACACATCGCAGGAGGAACTGGTCACAACCGACATCAGCGATTTCCCTCCAGACAGCACAGCAGCTGTTCCAGGCAGCACAACAGCTGTTCCAGGCAGCACAACAGCAATCTCAGGCAGCACAACAGCAATCTCAGGCAGCACAACAACAATCTCAGGCAGCACAACAGCAATCTCAGACAGCACGCCTGACCTAACGAGCACAGTCAGAGTTCACTCCGCCCCGATTACAACCACGCCCGCACGAACCACGACCACGACCGCAGTAACCACAACCACACCAACCACCACGTTAAGATTTGGCTTCTGCTCGACCCAAGAGTTCGTCGAATATAAATCGGCGTGTAAACCATGTTCAGATTTTGGCCAAAACCCATGTGGCCAAGGTAAGATTCCATCATGTGTGGTTGTCATGTGGCCAAGTTAAGGCTCCATTCTGTTTGGTTGTCATGTGGCCAAGTTAAGGCTCCATTCTGTGTGGTTGTCAAGTGGCCAAGTTAAGGCTCCATTCTGTGTGGTTGTCAAGTGGCCAAGTTAAGGCTCCATTCTGTGTGGTTGTCAAGTGGCCAAGTTAAGGCTCCATTCTGTGTGGTTGTCATGTGGCCAAGTTAAGGCTCCATTCTGTCTGGTTGTCATGTGGCCAAGTTAAGGCTCCATTCTGTGTGGTTGTCAAGTGGCCAAGTTAAGGCTCCATTCTGTGTGGTTGTCATGTGGCCAAGGTAAGGCTCCATTCTGTGTGGTTGTCAAGTGGCCAAGTTAAGGCTGCATTCTGAGTGGTTGTCATGGGGCCAAGTTAAGGCTCCATTCTGAGTGGTTGTCAAGTGGCAAAGTTAAGGCTCCATTCTGTGTGGTTGTCATGTGGCCAAGTTAAGGCTCTATTCTGTGTGGTTGTCATGTGGCCAAGTTAAGGCTCCATTCTGTGTGGTTGTCATGTGGCCAAGTTAAGGCTCCATTCTGTGTGGTTGTCGTGTGGCCAAGTTAAGGCTCCATTCTGTGTGGTTGTCATGTGGCCAAGTTAAGGCTCCATTCTGTGTGGTTGTCATGTGGCCAAGTTAAGGCTCCATTCTGTGTGGTTGTCATGTGGCCAAGGTAAGGCTCCATTCTGTGTGGTTGTCATGTGGCCAAGGTAAGGCTCCATTCTGTGTGGTTGTCATGTGGCCAAGTTAAGGCTCCATTCTGTGTGGTTGTCATGTGGCCAAGTTAAGGCTCCGTTCTGCGTGGTTGTCATGTGGCCAAGTTAAGGCTCCATCACGTGTGGATTATGCATAGAGAAAGGATTAAGATCTAATGATCGAGTTAGTGTAACGATGCGTCAACAAGCAGCTACAGAATTCCCAGTTTTCTTGAAAGATTATGCAATAATTAACCTTGATGAACGATTGTGCAAAAAGTTAACCTGTGGTGCTACTGTCCAGTGTTTTTACAAAATATTGTGCAGTAATTTAACGTTGTCTTACAGATCTATTGGTGAATACTACGACTTGCTCAGGGGATTTGATCAACACCATGTACTGCTTGCACACATGCATGTACAGCCGCAGCAACATACATTGCTGTCAGGGATTCTGGGGAGACGACTGCCAAGGTCAGAATTTAGCTAGTCAGAGTTTAACTTGGCCTAATCTTGAGAAACGTTGCCTTGTTGTCTAGAAACGAAACAATAACAAAAATATATGCATTACAAAATTGTGTTGTAACATTTCATAGTTCACCCAAAATTTAGATCAAAAGTTTTTGTATAATCACTTTAAAGTGCTATTATCAGATCTTAATACAAATAAAATTATGTTCTTAACATTACATTTTTTAAAAATAAAGAGATAGGCCTGGTGTAAATTAAAATTCAAGGGAAATTACTCTCACATGAAAAGTTTTGAGGCGCAGACTTTTTTGGTCCGCAATAAGATAGTTAGACTCGATGCATAGACATCAAAGAAGATTAGGCTATTTTATAAATATTTTTGGTAAAAATATAATACTTAAGACATAAATGATAAACTGTACATTATATAAACATCACGATGATCATCGCAGTATTTCTCATTAATACTCATTATTCATTCATAAATTCATTATGATGATTATTATAGTCAGTGATTATTATAGTTAGTGTATCTATATACTATAGTCACATAGTGTATACTTATAGTCACTGTATAGTCACATAGTGTATACTAGTATAGTAAAGTTTAGTTGAGTAGTTATACAGACATGTGAATGTTTTCTGCTATGTTGTCCTCTCTCGTTTCTAGAATGTCCTGGCGGGATAGGGAACGTCTGTAACGGCCGAGGTGTGTGTTCGCCCCTTGGGGAGTGTGAGTGCCAGGTAAATTAGTTGACTTATGTACAACTGTTTAGTCAGGGCTTTTTACTTGTTAACTTAGTAAGGTAATAATTATATAATAATAGTACTGTGAGTTTATTTTCTGAATTAATAAAAGCAACAATCAGTACAATGAAGTATTTTGTTTTTTTTGTATTTTACCACAGGCAGATTTTAAAGGTACTGCCTGTGAGCAATGTGCAGATGACAACAGATATGGGCCTAACTGTCAACAAAGTAGGTCACTCTCATCTATACAATCAGTTTCTTACTGCTCACAATTACATATTTCTTCATCACTTGTTCACTTCATCAGTGTCCTATTGACAACAGATAGCTATTGCATTGCAGCTACTATTCGCCAAGCCATTTACTTCCATTTCTGATTAGCAAAAATGCATTGATAATTAGTCTATTTAGACTAATTATGCATCTGTATCTTTACTATAACGTAATGTTTGCAGAGTAAATACATGATGATTACATCTGTATCTTTTCTAAAACATAATGTTTACAGACTGTACCTGTATTAATGGACAATGTAACAATGGTGTAGATGGAAATGGGTTTTGCACCTGTAACTCTGGATATACAGGTGTAAACTGTGATAAAGGTGAGTGTTAAAATTTATCTTACCTCACAAAATATTATCAACCAGAATTTAAAATTTTATTTATCTACTAAAATCCTGATTTTAAATTCAAGTAATTGACTTAATTATCAGATCACACTATTGTGTTAATGAAAATAAAATACCATTTTGCTAATCATGAGAATTTGTAATTGTGACAGTGACAACAAAATGTCATTTTTCTAGTCATAAAAATGTGTTTTTGTGACAGTGACAATAAAATGTCATTTTGCTAGTCATAAAAATGTGTAATTGTGGCAGTGACAATAAAATGTCATAAAAATGTGTTTTTGTGACAGTGATAAGAAAATGTCATTTTGCTAGTCATAAAAATGTCTAATTGTGACAGTAATAAGAAAATGTGAAGACTTGAAGTGCTACACTGAGAACATAACCAACTGGAGATGTGTTGATGTCAATGGTTCCGCTGCCTGTAACTGCAGTGGTGGTTATCGTTTTGATGATGAAACCACTGATTGTGTTGGTAAGAAATCTCAACAACAAATTTTTTTACTTAAAACTTCAACAAAGTTTTTATCTTAAAACTTAAAAACAGTTAATGAAAATACTTTACTGAAACTATTATTTTCTGACAAGAAAGCAAACTTATTTTTCCTCCTTGATTTCAGCCATAGACCCATGTCAGGAGCCAGCGCCACCTTGTGGAACATTTAGTCGGTGTTTGTACGTTGGACCAGGGAAGCACACGTGTGAGTGCGTAGAGAACTACAGAGGAGATGGCACAATCTGTCTGGCCATTGACCCCTGTCAGACAGATCACGGAGGGTGTGAGAACAACACATCTTGCTTGCATACAGGGCCAAATAAGGTGTGTTAGCAAAACTGGCCAAAACAATTTTATTGGGCCAAATAAGGTGTGTTGTCAAAACTGGCCAAAACAATTTTATTGGGCCAAATAAGGTGTGTTGTCAAAACTGGCCAAAACAATTTTATTGGGCAAAATATCCGAACATTACCAATTTATATAAAGGTTAAAAAATATTCAAATAGCATCAAATAGGGCTAGCATCAAATTCTGTTAAATCGGATATTCAAATAGTAAATTAAACCAAATATTTAAACAACAAATATCCTGTAAAGCCAAACTAAGCACAAATAAAATAAACCTTTTTTTTTAGCTTCCAAAAGTATCACATTTGTTATAACTTTGTGCAACGATATCCAAATATTTTATTATTGAATCTTACACCACCCCTCCCTATCCTTCTAGATCTAGTTAATTAATTTTCATTCACTAGCAACAGCATTACAAAACATCAAGGTACATGATTATGAGATGGATGTCCAATTAGTTGTAATGTATTTTTTGTATTATAAAAAAAAATACTATACAGTATAGTACTTTTGATGTTATGAAATTTTTGTTGTTAAATATTTGTATGTAATGTATTTTTTGTTGCCTTTGCGCAGCACAAGTGTGTGTGCAAGTTTGGCTATGAAAACTACAGACCCCAAGTTGGATGTTCGTTGAAGGACTATTGTGATTTTACATCATGTCATAAGTTTGCAACTTGTGAGACTGTAGAACCATTTAAGATAAGGTACTGACAATAGTTGCTAAAAATTTTAAAGATAAATGTGTTTAATATAGACTCACCACATATGCATGACCCAATGTAAACATGTTAGAGAGGCTGAGCATAGTGCTGACCATTGATAAGCAGAGGTAATAGAATCATTAGATCTAAAAGGGCACTTTACTGATATATATTTATATATGTTAGCGGGCTAATCTGGGCAATGTGTGCATTGTTTTCAGGTGCACATGCAAGGAAGGGTATGCAGGAAATGGTGATGACTGTTATGGAAACATTTATGAGGTAATGAGCACAGTGCTGATTTTATTTTTATTCTTTGAAACATTTAGAAACATCCAGAACAAACGCTGTGACTATACTGTACATTGAGATTTTCTATATCTTAATTGTGTAGAGAATTAGGGATATAAATTCCGTGACAAGGTACAGAATGAAGAATGATTTGGACTTTGTACTTCGCTGGATCAGCAGAACCTACCTGCAAGCCCTCCAGTCAAAAGGTCCCTTCACCATCTTTGTCCCAATGGACAAGAACTTCAGGTTGTTTTGTGATTTGGTTTGATCTATGCCTGCTTGTGATTCAGTTTGATCTATGCTTGTTTGTGATTTTGTTTGATCTATGCCTGCTTGTGATTCGGTTTGTTCCATGTCTTTTTGTGATTCATGTTAATTTCATATCTTTTTGTCACTGTTTGTTCCATGTTTTTGATTCATGTTAGTTCCATGTAATTTTGTGACTTATCTGTTCCATGTGTTTTTGTGGTTCATCTTTGTTGATGCCTGTTTGTATTTTTTTTTCCATTTCCATTTTGTGCTTATGTCTATTTAAGACAACTGGAGGCACTAATTTTTTTCTATAAATTCTCCAATCACAAAATGGGTATGATAAAGATTTTAATTAGTTATCAGAGTTTGCTAAAATAAACTATTGGAGGAAAGTTTGATGAAAATTTAGAAAAACACTTTGCTAGCTTGAAGGTACCTTACTGTAGGCCAAGTTTGATGATCATCTACAGTGGGTATAGCGTAGGTCTTTGTAACAATGACATGATCAATAATATAGGCAAGGAGTTGTTGAGGGGAATGGGAGATAAAACCCTCCAGATGAAGCTCCATCATTTCAACTAACGAATATAAAACTATTTGGTGTTATCAGAGCAGTTTTAAACAGAAATGAAAAGAACATGTAAACAGGTTTTGACAAGTTAATAAATGATTAACAGGGCTGTTGGAGGTTTTGACAAGTTAGTAAGTGATCCTCACCGCTCACGACAAGTTCTCAGACAACATATTCTCATTGGCAAGTTCACCATAGAGGAACTGATAAAAAAGGGAAACTTCTACACACTACAGGGCAACCAGGCAGAGTTCAGAGTGCGAGAGGTCAGATTTGTTTCATTTACACACACGCTTTCTTGATCATTCTTTTTATTTTGTTTGTAGGGACTATATTGTATACATTACTAGTTTATTTTTGGAGCAATCATTGAAAAACTAAGAGTATCTAAATGTGATTTGATCTTTTAAAACAGAATATTGGTCGCTTTAAACTACAAGGGTCATCTGCTAGAGCGATCAAGATATTGAAGAAAAACATCCCCGCTTCAAATGGGATGATCCATGTTGTCAACAACCTGCTGACCATGCAGCCCACGGTCTCAGGGGATCCTCAGGTAATGGCCTTCAGCTGGTCAGTCTAGCCCACTGTCTCAGGGAATCTTAAAATAATGGCCTTAAGCTGGTCAGATCATTTGGTCTATAATTTTTCTCAGATTTATTTCATTCAAAATTTAAATATTCATTGTTTGTGATAACTGTTTATTTCTAACCAGAAATCTGCACTTGATGTCATCAAGAAAGAGAATGTGTACAACACATTTGAGATGATGGTGGAGGTAGGTGCTGGTTCATTAATGTGGTTACATAGAGGCTACAGAAGTGATTGGAGAAAAGAGAAAGTTATTTTTATCTTGGTTTGTGTTTGAAGTCATTTAAAATAAACAATTCCAGTACTGCCCTAATAAGTCCATGTTGTTTCCTGAGTATTCCCAATGCAATAATCAACTTTGTGATGCAACATTCAGCATCATGATTTGTCTGAAGTTTGTGGAGTAACCTTCAATGACATGATTTTTTTAAATTTTTTAGGCAGCTGGACTTGTCCAAGAGTTCAACAAAACCAACGTCACCATTTTTGCACCAACAAATGAAGCCTGGAACACTTTGTCAAATGTTACTCTCAACTATTTATTGCAGGATACAGTGAGTCATTTTTAAAAATATTTTAGATATTTGTTCAGCAAATTTTTAATTGCACTTATTATTGACTTTTATATTATGCAATAAGCTAAAATCATCCAGTTTCTAGTTTTGTGGAAATAATTAGTTGATACTAGTACGATTTTATTAAGCATGAACAGATTCTGAACAATTAACAAAATAGTTAGTGCTAATGCTAGTTGTTTCATGGACATCATCTAGGAAAGTTTTATTTAAACTTATTCAAGAACTTATAGCCAGGTCAAAAGGTCAACCTTTAACCTTTATAACCTCAGGTGGAAGGAAAAGCTAAACTTGGTGAAGTTTTGAGGAATCACATTTTCCCTGGCGTCATTAATGTGACAGATCTGATAGAAAGACGAATGATCACCTCAAGACAGGGTGTCAACGTTCTTGTCCGTGTCAACTCTTATGTAAGTAGGGTGTCAACGTTCTTGTCCGTGTCAACTCTAATGTAAGTAGGGTGTCAATGTTGTCATCCATGTCAACTCTAATGTAAGTAGGGTGTAAATGTTCTTGTCCGTGTCAACTCCAATGTAAGTAGGGTGTCAATGTTGTCATCCATGTCAACTCTAATGTAAGTAGGGTGTCAATGTTGTCATCCATGTCAACTCTAATGTAAGTAGGGTGTAAATGTTCTTGTCCGTGTCAACTCCAATGTAAGTAGGGTGTCAATGTTGTCATCCATGTCAACTCTAATGTAAGTAGGGTGTCAATGTTGTCATCCATGTCAACTCTAATGTAAGTAGGGTGTCAATGTTCTTGTCCGTGTCAACTCCAATGTAAGTAGGGTGTCAATGTTGTCATCCATGTCAACTCCAATGTAAGTAGGGTGTCAATGTTGTCATCCATGTCAACTCTAATGTAAGTAGGGTGTCAATGATCTTGTCAACTCTCATGTAAGTAGGGTGTCAATGTTGTCATCCATGTCAACTCTAATGTAAGTAGGGTGTCAATGTTCTTGTCCGTGTCAACTCCAATGTAAGTAGGGTGTCAATGTTGTCATCCATGTCAACTCTAATGTAAGTAGGGTGTCAATGTTGTCATCCGTGTCAACTCTTATGTAAGTAGGGTGTCAATGTTGTCATCCGTGTCAACTCTAATGTAAGTAGGGTGTAAATGTTGTCATCCATGTCAACTCTTATGTAAGTAGGGTGTCAATGTTGTCATCCGTGTCAACTCTAATGTAAGTAGGGTGTCAATGTTCTTGTCCGTGTCAACTCCAATGTAAGTAGGGTGTCAATGTTGTCATCCATGTCAACTCTAATGTAAGTAGGGTGTCAATGTTGTCATCCGTGTCAACTCTAATGTAAGTAGGGTGTAAATGTTGTCATCCATGTCAACTCTAATGTAAGTAGGGTGTCAATGTTCTTGTCCGTGTCAACTCCAATGTAAGTAGGGTGTCAATGTTGTCATCCATGTCAACTCTAATGTAAGTAGGGTGTCAATGTTGTCATCTGTGTCAACTCTAATGTAAGTAGGGTGTAAATGTTGTCATCCATGTCAACTCTAATGTAAGTAGGGTGTCAATGTTCTTGTCCGTGTCAACTCCAATGTAAGTAGGGTGTCAATGTTGTCATCCGTGTCAACCCTTATGTAAGTAGGGTGTCAATGTTGTCATCCATGTCAACTCTAATGTAAGTAGGGTGTCAATGTTCTTGTCCGTGTCAACTCCAATGTAAGTAGGGTGTCAATGTTGTCATCCATGACAACTCTAATGTAAGTAGGGTGTCAATGTTGTCATCCGTGTCAACTCTAATGTAAGTAGGGTGTCAATGTTGTCATCCATGTCAACTCTAATGTAAGTAGGGTGTAAATGTTGTCATCCATGTCAACTCTAATGTAAGTAGGGTGTCAATGTTGTCATCCATGTCAACTCTAATGTAAGTAGGGTGTCAATGTTGTCATCCGTGTCAACTCTTATGTAAGTAGGGTGTCAATGTTGTCATCCGTGTCAACTCCAATGTAAGTAGGGTGTAAATGTTGTCATCCATGTCAACTCCAATGTAAGTAGGGTGTCAATGTTGTCATCCATGTCAACTCTAATGTAAGTAGGGTGTAAATGTTGTCATCCATGTCAACTCTAATGTAAGTAGGGTGTAAATGTTGTCATCCATGTCAACTCTAATGTAAGTAGGGTGTCAATGTTCTTGTCAACTCCAATGTAAGTAGGGTGTCAATGTTGTCATCCATGTCAACTCTAATGTAAGTAGGGTGTCAATGTTGTCATCTGTGTCAACTCTAATGTAAGTAGGGTGTAAATGTTGTCATCCATGTCAACTCTAATGTAAGTAGGGTGTCAATGTTCTTGTCCGTGTCAACTCCAATGTAAGTAGGGTGTCAATGTTGTCATCCGTGTCAACCCTTATGTAAGTAGGGTGTCAATGTTGTCATCCATGTCAACTCTAATGTAAGTAGGGTGTCAATGTTCTTGTCCGTGTCAACTCCAATGTAAGTAGGGTGTCAATGTTGTCATCCATGACAACTCTAATGTAAGTAGGGTGTCAATGTTGTCATCCGTGTCAACTCTAATGTAAGTAGGGTGTCAATGTTGTCATCCATGTCAACTCTAATGTAAGTAGGGTGTAAATGTTGTCATCCATGTCAACTCTAATGTAAGTAGGGTGTCAATGTTGTCATCCATGTCAACTCTAATGTAAGTAGGGTGTCAATGTTGTCATCCGTGTCAACTCTTATGTAAGTAGGGTGTCAATGTTGTCATCCGTGTCAACTCCAATGTAAGTAGGGTGTAAATGTTGTCATCCATGTCAACTCCAATGTAAGTAGGGTGTCAATGTTGTCATCCATGTCAACTCTAATGTAAGTAGGGTGTAAATGTTGTCATCCATGTCAACTCTAATGTAAGTAGGGTGTAAATGTTGTCATCCATGTCAACTCTAATGTAAGTAGGGTGTCAATGTTCTTGTCAACTCCAATGTAAGTAGGGTGTCAATGTTGTCATCCATGTCAACTCTAATGTAAGTAGGGTGTCAATGTTGTCATCCATGTCAACTCTAATGTAAGTAGGGTGTCAATGTTGTCATCCATGTCAACTCTAATGTAAGTAGGGTGTCAATGTTGTCATCCATGTCAACTCTAATGTAAGTAGGGTGTCAATGTTCTTGTCCGTGTCAACTCCAATGTAAGTAGGGTGTCAATGTTGTCATCCATGTCAACTCTAATGTAAGTAGGGTGTCAATGTTGTCATCCATGTCAACTCTAATGTAAGTAGGGTGTAAATGTTGTCATCCATGTCAACTCCAATGTAAGTAGGGTGTCAATGTTGTCATCCATGTCAACTCTAATGTAAGTAGGGTGTAAATGTTCTTGTCCGTGTCAACTCCAATGTAAGTAGGGTGTCAATGTTGTCATCCATGTCAACTCCAATGTAAGTAGGGTGTCAATGTTGTCATCCATGTCAACTCTAATGTAAGTAGGGTGTAAATGTTCTTGTCCGTGTCAACTCCAATGTAAGTAGGGTGTCAATGTTGTCATCCATGTCAACTCTAATGTAAGTAGGGTGTCAATGTTGTCATCCATGTCAACTCTAATGTAAGTAGGGTGTAAATGTTCTTGTCCGTGTCAACTCCAATGTAAGTAGGGTGTAAATGTTGTCATCCATGTCAACTCTAATGTAAGTAGGGTGTCAATGTTGTCATCCATGTCAACTCTAATGTAAGTAGGGTGTCAATGTTGTCATCCATGTCAACTCTAATGTAAGTAGGGTGTCAATGTTGTCATCCATGTCAACTCTAATGTAAGTAGGGTGTCAATGTTGTCATCCATGTCAACTCTAATGTAAGTAGGGTGTCAATGTTGTCATCCATGTCAACTCTAATGTAAGTAGGGTGTAAATGTTGTCATCCATGTCAACTCCAATGTAAGTAGGGTGTCAATGTTGTCATCCATGTCAACTCCAATGTAAGTAGGGTGTCAATGTTGTCATCCATGTCAACTCTAATGTAAGTAGGGTGTGAATGACGTAACCCGTGCTGTTTCCAGGGCCAGATCCAGCTGGACAACAAGGTGACCATACAGCAGGTCAATGTGCCATGTCGCAGTGACAATTACTACTATCACATTGACAGTTTACTTGTGCCATCCTACTTGGGAAACCTGTCACCCAATTATTGCAACGTTCAGATGTCAAAGAAGGCAAAAGTAAGTTGCTCTTACAACACTCTAGCGATGAAATAAAATTTGGTACAATCAACGTTTAAACAATTCTAAACATATTTTAACTGTTGATGTTTTTAAAAAAATAATAGAATTTGATAAAAAATTAAAACAAAAGGACCAATATGCCACTTGATAAAAATCAGTGAGTTTTTGTTACAAAAATCATTTTTTTTTATATAACAGTCTTCTCTTGTCAATGATTGCAGTATGTATTGTCTTGTTAAAAATTATAAAACAGGGGATGTAACTTTTGTTATTCTTCTTAGGGTCCATGTGAGCCTTGTCCTTTTGCAAGTTGTTCTCAACCCACGGACACACCCACTGTAAGTTGAAAACCTGTTAGATTCATAACATAATAGATTAATTAAATTCATAACATTAATTAATTAGATAGACAAATAATATATTATTTTGTTGTCCAAAAAGAAATTTTGCTGTGGTATCTGTAGTGGTGTTTTAGTGAAGTCTTTACTAGCGTGGGTAGTAGTGTTTGTAGTGGTGTTTGTAGTGGTGTTTTAGTGAAGTTTTTACTAGCGTGGGTAGTGGTTTGTAGTGGTGTTTGTAGTGGTGTTTATAGTTGTGTCTATAGTGTTGTAGTAGTGTGCTATAAACAGTTATGTGTATATGTAAATGCATGCTGGCCGATATTCATACAAAACTTGTAAAAAGTCTGTAAGAAACTTCACCTCTTTTGTTGTTTAACTGTACAGGACGACCTCGAGCCATGTTATTTCCGGTTCTTCCAACGTTGTACAAGGATCTGTATCAGACAAGTTGAGGTATGTTTTCATAAGCTTGATACAAACTGACAATTGCTTGCTTTTTTAATTACTTATTTGTCTCATCTACACATAGGAATTTATATATATATATATATATATATATATATATATATATATATATATATATATATATATATATATATATATATATATATATACATATATATAAATTAGATGACTTTGTTTAGGTTCCAACATGCTGTAGTGGTTTTTATGGTCCACAATGTCAGCCCTGCCCTGGAGGGTTTAGAACTCCTTGCAATGGAAAAGGAAAGGTTGGTCTTACAATGGCTTATTATTGTATTCTGTGTGTTGTTACTTGAGTTCAGTTCCTTGAGAAATTATCCTATTTAATCAGAAGATTATTATAGTTTAGTCTGACATCTATGGAGTATTATTTTATATTTTGTATACAGTCTTGTGTAATTTCATCCCCTCATATTGTCGTGTCTACAGTGTTTGGACACATTGACTGGTCCAGGGACGTGTCTATGTGATCCAGCCTACAAGGGTGTGGCTTGTCAGCTGTGCCAGAAAAATAATGTTTTTGGACCTGGCTGTAACCAAAGTAAGAATAACATCAATCTATCCCTGTCTACTGACCCATCTATCCCTGTCTACTGACCAATCTATCTACTGACCCATCTATCCCTGTCTACTGACCCATCTGTCTATTGACCCATCTGTCTACTGACCCATCTGTCTACTGACCCATCTGTCTACTGACCCATCTATCCCTGTCTACTGACCCATCTATCCCTGTCTACTGACCCATCTATCCCTGTGTTACAGCCTGTACCTGTCTGAATGGAGAGTGTGATGACGGGCCCAATGGTAATGGCAAGTGTAAGCCAGGGACATGCAGGGACCAGTACATGGGAGACAACTGTGACCAGAAGTTGGTGCAGTGTGGGGCCAACATCCTGCTGTGTCATGCCCATGCATTCTGCTACGTCGCTAAGGACAACACATACAGGTGAGCTCTAGACTTCCATATGTTGTGCTATGTTGCTAAGGACAACACATACAGGTGAGCTCTAGACTTCCAGATGTTGTGCTATGTTGCTAAGGACAACACATACAAGTGAGCTCTAGACTTCCAGATGTTGTGCTACGTCGCTAAGGACAACACATACAGGTGAGCTCTAGACTTCAAGATGTTGTGCTGTGTCGCTAAGGACAACACATACAGGTGAGCTCTAGACTTCCAGATGTTGTGCTACGTCGCTAAGGACAACACATACAGGTGAGCTCTAGACTTCAAGATGTTGTGCTGTGTCGCTAAGGCAACACATACAGGTGAGCTCTAGACTTCCAGATGTTGTGCTACGTCGCTAAGGACAACACATACAGGTGAGCTCTAGACTTCAAGATGTTGTGCTGTGTTGCTAAGGACAACACATACAGGTGAGCTCTAGACTTCCAGATGAGGTGTCACAGATAACAAGGCACTAGAATTCTCTATCAGCTTCTCCAGTTTAAATATGTAAAATATTTATTACTAGGCTGTGATGATAGGTACTAAATACTGATATTGTGTGTTATAGCTTTCTGTGCTTGCGTGTGGTGTTTTAGCTTTATGTGCTGCAGCTGTCTCATACAATCACCTATGTAAGACTTGCCCAGACTAGAACTATGACTGTAAAGATCACAGAATTAGAATAAACATTCATGTAGTATTTACTTTAAACATATACTTGACAGTTGTAAATGCAAACTTGGTTATGAATCCGATGGAACTGGATGTAGAGAAAGAAACCCCTGTGAGGAGGATACAAGAGGAGGTTGTCATCCACAGGTATATTGTCTTTGACATTTTAGAACTAACATTCTAAACTTCAATGTTGGAGAGCTCTAGCTATTGAAAATGTTTTCAACCAGGCAACCTGCACCAAGATTGGGCCAGGTGCCAACAAATGTATCTGCCAAGATGGCTGGATGGGAGATGGATTCTACTGTGCCCCTAAAACTCCTTGTTTAAACAACTCCAACTGTGACCCCAATGCAGCTTGCCAGAGTCTCTCAGTGACTGAGGTCAGCAAGTCATCATTTCAAAACTCTTTATTTTAGTATTGTTCTAGTCCTCTCATTAAAAAAACTCTTAATTTTAGTATTGTTCTTGTCCTCTCATTTCAAATTTTTTTACTTTAGTATTCTTCTTGTCCTCTCATTTCAAAACTCTCTATTTTAGTATTGTTGTCCTCTCATTTCAAAATTCTTTATTTTAGTATTGTTCTTGTCCTCTCATTTCAAAACTTAGTATTTTAGTATTGTTCTTGTCCTCTCATTTCAAAACTTAGTATTTTAGTATTGTCATCTTCTTATTTCAAAACTATTTATTTTTGTATTGTTGTCCTTTCATTCAGAAATTCTTTATTATAATATTTTTAGAATAATAATAATATTCTCTAGCATTTATGAAAATGTTATAAATCATTTTCATTAAATTAAAAAGATGCTTGATTATCTAGTTTTAATTAAATTAAAGTTAATTAAAATTTGGATAAAAAATGAGGTAAACTATTTAGGTAAAGCATCGTACTAAAACAAAATTTGAGTAATTAATTTTAGTTTTATGTATTTAGTATTGATGGATGGTATAGTCTTTATTAAGTATATTGCACAGTAAAAAAAGTCTATAGGGCACATGAAGTAGAGATCTTGTTTCTTGACCTCTGGAAGGAATAGTGTGGTCAGCATTATGCCCAGCCACCATTGCTTCCCTAATTTAAATCAGGTACCCATCACCAAAGTGTGGAATCCAAGACATCCTACAGACTCCAGTCCAAGATCCAAACTTGAGGTTTAACAGTTGAGCTCTAGCACTACAGTTGCCATTTCTAAACTTAGACATCCAAAGGATAGTTGCATCTTATTATAATAATTTATCTATTTTAGTATCGATGTTTCTGCAACATTGGTTACAGAGGAAATGGTAGCAGCTGTGAGTTGGTGAACCCATGCTTAGATGGTAATAATGGTGGATGCCATCCCAAGGTATGCATCATATCTGAGCATTTAGACTACGATAATCTCAATAGGCTTTATAACTAGCAGTAAGGCTAAACCACCATTTGATAATCTCAATAGGTTTTTATAACTAGTAGTAAGTTTCCTGATCACCATTTTACTAGTGTGTTCTTTTTTAAATTAAGCTACTTACTACAAGTACTTAGTAGCGGCTAGCTGATGTGAATTATTCATTTTAAAAATACTAAGGTTAAATTTTTTTTTCTTTTCAAGGCCATTTGTACCTCCATAAAGTTTGGAGAAAAAAACTGTACTTGTCCAAAAAACATGTATGGTGATGGCTTTTCATGCTATGGAACAATTTTTGATGAGGTTATGTCACACCCTAATCTTACAAAATTTGCAGCTTTTATGAAGGTGATCTAATACTTCTGTCCTAATGAACACTTAATGTCATTTTTTATTTTGTAAGAGTGGTTAAATATTGTGTTTAAGTAGTAGGCCTACAATAGACCATGTTTTTGAAGGTTGACTAAAGGTACTAATTTGGTCTAGTTAATTACCAACATCAACTATTAGCTATTTTTACCCACATTAATTTAAAGTATCATAACTCTAACACCCTACTAAATAGATACAGCTCATCAATAACAGCAAATGTTTTCTTTTTGTATTTGAAATTTTAGCTTTTAAAAGAGAAGAATAATTTTTTGAAACAATTTGAAAATAAACTGACACTGTTAGCACCATCAGACTCAGCTATGGAGGCTTTTTATTTTGGACTCAAATCTAATTCATCGCACTGGAGGGATGAAATTAATGTCCTCAATTTTATAAGGTAGGCCTCAGCTCAAATGTATCTGCAGTATGTTTTATATCATTGTTATATCTCAACATATTCTGCTAGTTTTAGTTATTAATTATGTACAAATTTTAAGTTTGAATCACGTTGTAAAAATATTTTTTAGTAAATTTAGTACTAATTAAACTTAAATGGAATATATACTTATTATGTTACTGCTTTAAAAATCAAATTTCCAGCTTCCATACCCTTACTACAGCATATACAACAGAAAAATTTAAGTCAATGGAAAAAGTATTGAAGAGTTACCCCACTTTGTATGATGGCTTTTCTATTAGAATCATCAATGTGAACAAGGTAAAGCTGGGTAGGGCTCAAATTAAAATATTGTAAACATGAGATTTTTAGAAGATGTTAACTTGCATTAATATGTACATTGTAGTCAGAGCTACTGTTAAATATATTTTCTCTGCTATAAAAATCTTATATTAAACATTTTCTTCTAAAGGGTCTCCACATATTTGTCAACCATTCAGATTTTGCACAAATTCTTGTTGCTAACATAACTGCAGGGAATGGTTATATTCACATTGTAGATAAGGTAAGCCAGTTTCAATATCATCTATTTAGAGTGAACATGCTTTAATTAAGCCAACAAATTGTATTAAAGTCAGTAATAAATGTTGAATTCTCTTGTCTAGGTGCTTGAAGTATTTTTCTCCGACTCTGACACACCCAGCCTAGAGGACACCCTCAGCCAGGAGGAGAATTACTCGCTGTTCTATCAGGCACTCAATGTAAGTGTTCAGACTGAGCTAATTATAAAGTATAATAAGATAATTTAATCACCAGTTCTTCAGGCACTCAATGTAAGTGTTCAGACTGAGCGAATTATAAAGTATAATAAAATAATTTAATCACCAGTTCTTCAGGCACTCAATGTAAGTGTTCAGACTGAGCTAATTATAAAGTATAATAAAATAAACTAATCACCAGTTCTATCAGGCACTCAATGTAAGTGTTCAGACTGAGCTAATTATAAAGTATAATAAAATAATTTAATCACCAGTTCTTCAGGCACTCAATGTAAGTGTTCAGACTGAGCTAATTATAAAGTATAATAAAATAAACTAATCACCAGTTCTATCAGGCACTCAATGTAAGTGTTCAGACTGAGCTAATTATAAAGTATAATAAAATAATTTAATCACCAGTTCTTTCAGGCACTCAATGTAAGTATTCAGACTGAGCTAATTATAAAGTATAATAAAATAATTTAATCACCAGTTCTTCAGGCACTCAATGTAAGTATTCAGACTGAGCTAATTATAAAGTATAATAAAATAATTTAATCACCAGTTCTTCAGGCACTCAATGTAAGTGTTCAGACTTAGCTAATTATAAAGTATAATAAGATAATTTAATCCCCAGTTCTTTCAGGCACTCAATGTAAGTATTCAGACTGAGCTAATTATAAAGTATAATAAAATAATTTAATCACCAGTTCTTCAGGCACTCAATGTAAGTATTCAGACTGAGCTAATTATAAAGTATAATAAAATAATTTAATCACCAGTTCTATCAGGCACTCAATGTAAGTATTCAGACTGAGCGAATTATAAAGTATAATAAAATAATTTAATCACCAGTTCTATCAGGCACTCAATGTAAGTATTCAGACTGAGCTAATTATAAAGTATAATAAAATAATTTAATCACCAGTTCTTCAGGCACTCATTGTACATATTCAGATTTAGCTATATAGAAAATATAATAATAAAATAATATAAATAACAATGTAAGTATTCAGATTTAGCTAAATGAAAAGTATAGTAATAAAATTATATAAACATCAATTATTCAGTCAAAGTTTTTAGCCTTCTACAAGTTTCATTGCCATGAATACATTATAAGAATACCTCTTCAACAGATTTTGATCAACTCAGTGCTTGTCTTATTATTTAAAAATTTCTGTTACTTTTTATTTGGTATTAAATATTAATTTGTTTTAATTTTCAGGAGTCAGATGTATTAAATCAGTTACAATCAATGGACGAATTCACTGTTTTTGTTCCTAATAATTCTGCTCTGAAGTCAAAAGGAAGTCTGAAGGTAATTTTATTTTAGTCTGATGTGTAAATTAAAAATACTTTTTCTGTGGGCTACAATTTTAAGTAGTCATAGTTATCTACAGATCTCTTCTATTTAGGTATGTAAAACAATGTGTTACTTTACTGTGGTTGGTCTTTGTGTAAATTATTATTATATTTTTTTAATTTAAACAAAAAATATAACAATGTATGATTTTAGTCAGGTGATCTCATCAAAAATTATGTTGTGCCATCCTTGATTTTTACACCCTCTGTATTGGACATGGACACAGTAGATACACTTCTGGGATCCAGAAATAAACTCATCTTCAATGTATATGATGATAAGGTTAGTGTATGCTGATAGGGTTTATCTATGGTGATATGACATAATGTGTGTATAATCGTATAGAGAATTATATAGTTAGTTATCTTTTTATTGAATAAAAAGTGTATGTCATTTATAGAAACAATACTGAAGATATACAGTTAACTCCACACTTGTTTAATTTTATAACAAAAAAAAATGTAATTTACTTTCCAGGTTTATGTAAATAATGTAAAAATTATACGATCTGATGTATTGTTTGATGGTGGAGTGATTCATGTGATAGAAGATCTGATTCGGCCAGTCCTCAGCAGATGTGATTCACACACTGCCAACTTCACTCGCGTGAGTCATCTATAGTGTATCAACACTTTATTTACTCAGTTCAGATAGATTTAAGTCTGAGAAGGCATGTTTTGACTAAAAATTCTATAAATAGTAACTGGTACAAACATTAACTTTTTCACTGCTCAGATACTGAATCAGGGTTATCTCCCAGTAATTACTTTAACTTGACTTTTAAGATTATGCCATATTGATTAGCCTTACTCAATTTGGAGACTTAAATTTTATACAAGTCAAAATACATAATTATATTTAGATAAATAAAATAGGTATTGTTTTAAAAGTGTTTTTAGATTAATTCACACAATTGGTAAATACTTAATAGTAGCTACAATAGTATTAAAACTTAATTTCTTAAGTGAGGTTCTTTAAGGCTGCCAATAATTGTGTTGCATGCCAGTAAAAAATGTACACAGTTTTCTCTACCATTTGGCCATAGTATCTCAGATGATGAAAATGTAAAAAAAATTCCATTTGCTACATTTTATTATGTACACATTGTGAAATTCTGATTGCTTTCTTGACAACAACTTAAAACAGAGCGAGTGCAGAAAGTGTCCGACCAATGATACAACAGCTTGTCCAGCAGGTTTTGAACCTGTGGATGTACAAGAAAATATCTGGTTTGAGTGCAACCTGACCTCTGGTGAGCCAGGGTGTCAGTTGTTGTGTTACACCAATCAAACCGTGAGTTAGCATCAGCTTTGGCTGACATCAAATCTTCTCACTTGTAGTATATTTTTAGTTTGGTTTTAGCCATTTTTTTATTAAAAAAAGTCATGGAGATTAGTTTAACTTTAGGCTAAATTTCTTCTTTTTATTTGATCTCCAGGAACCTGAATGCTGCATGGGCTACTTTGGTCCAACATGCAAGGGTAAGAATTGAGAACATTTTTATACCTTTGTTTTACAAGAACATATTTTTAGGAAATTTTTATTCTGAAGGATTTTTTTTAAATTTCTGGTTTCTTTCAATCAAGGAAGTTTATACATTACAAGCTATATATGAGCAAATGTTTAAAATTATATTCTGCATTTGTGTAAAAATTAAACAAAACTGTTTTTAAAAAACATGACAAACGTGAACCTGATTACTAAATAACGTCTTCTTTAAATCCTGACATATTCCTAACATTAATTACATAGAAGAAATGCTTTAATATTTGGTGATTGTGGCAATGAGCAACTGCTTTAATTAACTGATTGGTTATAGAATGTCTTTAATTTTTAGTGATTGTGGCAATGAGCAACTGCTTTAATTAACTGATTGGTTATAGAATGTCTTTAATTTTTGGTGATTGTGGCAATGAGCAACTGCTTTAATTAACACTGATTGGTTATAGAATGTCTTTAATTTTCGGTGATTGTGGCAATGAGCAACTGCTTTAATTAACTCTGGTTATAGAATGTCTTTAATTTTTGTTGATTGTGGCAATGAGCAACTGCTTTAATTAACTGATTGGTTATAGAATGTCTTTAATTTTTGGTGATTGTGGCAATGAGCAACTGCTTTAATTAACTGATTGGTTATAGAATGTCTTTAATTTTTGGTGATTGTGGCAATGAGCAACTGCTTTAATTAACTGATTGGTTATAGAATGTCTTTAATTTTTGTTGATTGTGGCAATGAGCAACTGCTTTAATTAACTGATTGGTTATAGAATGTCTTTAATTTTTGTTGATTGTGGCAATGAGCAACTGCTTTAATTAACTGATTGGTTATAGAATGTCTTTAATTTTTGTTGATTGTGGCAATGAGCAACTGCTTTAATTAACTGATTGGTTATAGAATGTCTTTAATTTTTGGTGATTGTGGCAATGAGCAACTGCTTTAATTAACTGATTGGTTATAGAATGTCTTTAATTTTTGTTGATTGTGGCAATGAGCAACTGCTTTAATTAACTGGTTGGTTATAGAATGTCTTTAATTTTTGGTGATTGTGGCAATGAGCAACTGCTTTAATTAACTGATTGGTTATAGAATGCCCTGGTGGGGCAGAAGATCCCTGTAGTGGCCATGGCAACTGCTCTGATGGGGTGGATGGGACAGGTGTTTGTGCTTGCGACAGTTTTTATGGTGGACAGGACTGCTCACAGTGTCAAGGTCCTGCCTTCAAATGTGATACAGGTAAAATTTTAATGTGATTTAAAGGTAATGTTTTAATGAGATTCAGGTAAAATTAAAATGTGATTTATAGGTAACATTGTAATATGGATTTTAATGTGATACAGGTAAAATTAAAATAAGATTTAAAGGTAACATTTTAGTGAAATACAGGTAAAATTTTAATTATACAGGTAAAATTTTAATGTGATTTAAAGGTAAAATGTAAATTTGATTTAAAGGTAAAATATTAATGAGATACAGGTAAAATTTTAATGTGATTTAAAGGTAAAACATTAATGAGGTACAGGTAAAATTTAACATTTCTTATTGATTGCTGTCAGAAAAATTTAAAATTCCAAAACTCTGAAAAAAAATTAAATTAAGAAAATAAAAGTATTTGAAACTGTTAAAAGGACTCTTGAAATATTTATCAATCCTAAACAAATTATTTGACATATGTTGTATCTTTAAACATATATAACTAATGATCAAACTAAAATTACTTAAAATAAAATTTATATGTAAATTTGATAGCTGATATTTGAAACTTGAAAGTTGATGTTTGAAACTTGACAGTTGATGTTTGAAACTTAATAGTTGATGTTTGAAACTTGATAGTTGATGTTTGAAACTTGATAGTTGATGTTTGAAACTTGGCAGTTGATGTCTGAAACTCGATAGTTGATGTTTGAAACTTGATAGTTGATGTTTGAAACTTGATAGTTGATGTTTGAAACTTGATAGTTGATGTTTGAAACTTGATAGTTGATGTTTGAAACTTGACAGTTGATGTTTGAAACTTGGCAGTTGATGTCTGAAACTTGATAGTTGATGTTTGAAACTTGATAGTTGATGTTTGAAACTTGATAGTTGATGTTTGAAACTGGGTAGTTGATGTTTGAAACTTGATAGTTGATGTTTGAAACTTGGCAGTTGATGTTTGAAACTTGGTAGTTGATGCTTGAAACTTGATAGTTGATGTTTGAAACTTGATATTTTCAGCTGGTTGTGGCCCAGAGAACTGCAGTGACTCGGCAGTGTGTGTGCTGTCAAAGGTATGTGAGAGATAACCAGATATACATAAAAAATGTCTACATAGATTTATCTAGTCATTAGTTGATAATGCCTTGATACAGTTATATGTACTGTCATATATAGTCTGAATTATTGGGATGAACGGGGTGGTGCATGTTTGAACCAGAAACAAAATATCTATCATTACTTTCACTCATGCTTATTTTATTTTCTAGTGTATTTGTAAAGATGGTTACTATGGCAACGGCACATGGTGTGAAAAGATAAACAATCCTTGTACAGTGAATAATGGTGGATGTGACCCAGACAGAGCCAAGTGTATATTCCGTGGATTCACTCCCCCTGATGTAAATATAGGTTAGATCTGTGTTAAGTTTGTAGTATTACATTTTATTTAGTCTGTTTTAGGGTAGTTAGATCTGTGTTAAGTTTGTAGTAATACATTTTATTTAGTCTGTTTTAGGGCAGTTAGATCTGTGTTAAGTTTGTAGTATAACATTTTATTTGTCTGTTTTAGGTTAGATCTGTGTTAAGTTTGTAGTATAACATTTTATTTAGTCTGTTTTAGGGTAGATAGATCTGTGTTAAGTTTGTAGTATTACATTTTATTTAGTGTTTTAGGGTAGTTAGATCTGTGTTAAGTTTGTAGTAATACATTTTATTTAGTCTGTTTTAAGGTAGTTAGATCTGTGTTAAGTTTGTAGTAATACATTTTATTTAGTCTGTTTTAGGGTAGTTAGATCTGTGTTTAAGCTTGTAGTATTACATTTTATTTAGTCTGTTTTAAGGTAGTTAGATCTGTGTTAAGTTTGTAGTATAACATTTTATTTAGTGTTTTAGGGTAGTTAGATCTGTGTTAAGTTTGTAGTAATACATTTTATTTAGTCTGTTTTAGGGTAGTTAGATCTGTGTTTAAGCTTGTAGTATTACATTTTATTTAGTCTGTTTTAAGGTAGTTAGATCTGTGTTAAGTTTGTAGTATTACATTTTATTTAGTGTTTTAGGTTAGATCTGTGTTAAGTTTGTAGTATTACATTTTATTTAGTCTGTTTTAGGGTAGTTAGATCTGTGTTAAGTTTGTAGTATTACATTTTATTTAGTCTGTTTTAGGGTAGTTAGATCTGTGTTAAGTTTGTAGTAATACATTTTATTTAGTCTGTTTTAGGGCAGTTAGATCTGTGTTAAGTTTGTAGTATAACATTTTATTTGTCTGTTTTAGGTTAGATCTGTGTTAAGTTTGTAGTATTACATTTTATTTAGTCTGTTTTAGGGTAGATAGATCTGTGTTAAGTTTGTAGTATTACATTTTATTTAGTGTTTTAGGGTAGTTAGATCTGTGTTAAGTTTGTAGTAATACATTTTATTTAGTCTGTTTTAAGGTAGTTAGATCTGTGTTAAGTTTGTAGTAATACATTTTATTTAGTCTGTTTTAGGGTAGTTAGATCTGTGTTTAAGCTTGTAGTATTACATTTTATTTAGTCTGTTTTAAGGTAGTTAGATCTGTGTTAAGTTTGTAGTATTACATTTTATTTAGTCTGTTTTAGGGTAGTTAGATCTGTGTTAAGTTTGTAGTATAACATTTTATTTAGTGTTTTAGGGTAGTTAGATCTGTGTTAAGTTTGTAGTATTACATTTTATTTAGTCTGTTTTAAGGTAGTTAGATCTGTGTTAAGTTTGTAGTATTACATTTTCTTTAGTCTGTTTTAGGGTAGTTAGATCTGTGTTTAAGCTTGTAGTATTACATTTTATTTAGTCTGTTTTAAGGTAGTTAGATCTGTGTTAAGTTTGTAGTATTACATTTTATTTACTCTGTTTTAGGTTAGATCTGTGTTAAGTTTGTAGTATTACATTTTATTTAGTGTTTTAGGTTAGATCTGTGTTAAGTTTGTAGTATTACATTTTATTTAGTCTGTTTTAGGGTAGTTAGATCTGTATTAAGTTTGTAGTATTACATTTTATTTAGTGTTTTAGGGTAGTTAGATCTGTGTCAAGTTTGTAGTATTACATTTTATTTAGTCTGTTTTAAGGTAGTTAGATCTGTGTTAAGTTTGTAGTATTACATTTTATTTAGTGTTTTAGGGTAGTTAGATCTGTGTTAAGTTTGTAGTAATACATTTTATTTGTCTGTTTTAGGGTATTTAGATCTGTGTTAAGTTTGTAGTAATACATTTTATTTAGTGTTTTAGGGTAGTTAGATCTGTGTTAAGTTTGTAGTATTACATTTTATTTAGTCTGTTTTAGGGTAGTTAGATCTGTGTTAAGTTTGTAGTATTACATTTTATTTAGTGTTTTAGGGTAGTTAGATCTGTGTTAAGTTTGTAGTAATACATTTTATTTAGTGTTTTAGGGTAGTTAGATCTGTGTTAAGTTTGTAGTATTACATTTATTTAGTCTGTTTTAAGGTAGTTAGATCTGTGTTAAGTTTGTAGTATTACATTTTATTTAGTGTTTTAGGGTAGTTAGATCTGTGTTTAAGTTAGTAGTATTACATTTTATTTGTCTGTTTTAAGGTAGTTAGATCTGTGTTAAGTTTGTAGTAATACATTTTATTTAGTGTTTTAGGGTAGTTAGATCTGTGTTAAGTTTGTAGTAATACATTTTATTTAGTCTGTTTTAGGGTAGTTAGATCTGTGTTAAGTTTGTAGTATTACATTTTATTTGTCTGTTTTAGGTTAGATCTGTGTTTAGTTTGTAGTAATACATTTTATTTAGTCTGTTTTAGGGTAGTTAGATCTGTGTTAAGTTTGTAGTATAACATTTTATTTAGTCTGTTTTAGGGTAGTTAGATCTGTGTTAAGTTTGTAGTAATACATTTTATTTAGTGTTTTAGGGTAGTTAGATCTGTGTTAAGTTTGTAGTATTACATTTTATTTAGTCTGTTTTAGGGTAGTTAGATCTGTGTTAAGTTTGTAGTATAACATTTTATTTGTCTGTTTTAAGGTAGTTAGATCTGTGTTAAGTTTGTAGTATTACATTTTATTTAGTCTGTTTTAGGGTAGTTAGATCTGTGTTAAGTTTGTAGTATTACATTTTATTTGTCTGTTTTAGGTTAGATCTGTGTTAAGTTAGTAGTATTACATTTTATTTAGTGTTTTAGGTTAGATCTGTGTTAAGTTTGTAGTATTACATTTTATTTAGTCTGTTTTAGGGTAGTTAGATCTGTGTTAAGTTTGTAGTATTACATTTTATTTAGTCTGTTTAGGGTAGTTAGATCTGTGTTAAGTTTGTAGTATTACATTTTATTTAGTCTGTTTTAGGGTAGTTAGATCTGTGTTAAGTTTGTAGTATTACATTTTATTTAGTCTGTTTTAGGGTAGTTAGATCTGTGTTAAGTTTGTAGTATTACATTTTATTTAGTCTGTTTAGGGTAGTTAGATCTGTGTTAAGTTTGTAGTATTACATTTTATTTGTCTGTTTTAGGTTAGATCTGTGTTAAGTTTGTAGTATTACATTTTATTTGTCTGTTTTAGGTTAGATCTGTGTTTAGTTTGTAGTAATACATTTTATTTAGTGTTTTAGGGTAGTTAGATCTGTGTTTAGTTTGTAGTAATACATTTCATTTGTCTGTTTTAGGGTAGTTAGATCTGTGTTAAGTTTGTAGTAATACATTTTATTTAGTGTTTTAGGTTAGATCTGTGTTAAGTTTGTAGTAATACATTTTATTTAGTGTTTTAGGGTAGTTAGATCTGTGTTAAGTTTGTAGTAATACATTTTATTTAGTGTTTTAGGGTAGTTAGATCTGTGTTAAGTTTGTAGTAATACATTTCATTTGTCTGTTTTAGGGTAGTTAGATCTGTGTTAAGTTTTTAGTATTACATTTTATTTAGTGTTTTAGGTTAGATCTGTGTTAAGTTTGTAGTATTACATTTTATTTAGTGTTTTAGGTTAGATCTGTGTTAAGTTTGTAGTATTACATTTTATTTAGTGTTTTAGGGTAGTTAGATCTGTGTTTAAGTTTGTAGTATTACATTTTATTTGTCTGTTTTAAGGTAGTTAGATCTGTGTTAAGTTTGTAGTAATACATTTTATTTAGTGTTTTAGTGTAGTTAGATCTGTGTTAAGTTTGTAGTAATACATTTTATTTAGTCTGTTTTAGGGTAGTTAGATCTGTGTTAAGTTTGTAGTATTACATTTTATTTGTCTGTTTTAGGTTAGATCTGTGTTTAGTTTGTAGTAATACATTTTATTTAGTCTGTTTTAGGGTAGTTAGATCTGTGTTAAGTTTGTAGTATTACATTTTATTTAGTGTTTTAGGGTAGTTAGATCTGTGTTTAGTTTGTAGTAATACATTTTATTTAGTCTGTTTTAGGGTAGTTAGATCTGTGTTAAGTTTGTAGTATAACATTTTATTTAGTCTGTTTTAGGGTAGTTAGATCTGTGTTAAGTTTGTAGTAATACATTTTATTTAGTGTTTTAGGGTAGTTAGATCTGTGTTAAGTTTGTAGTATTACATTTTATTTAGTCTGTTTTAGGGTAGTTAGATCTGTGTTAAGTTTGTAGTATAACATTTTATTTGTCTGTTTTAAGGTAGTTAGATCTGTGTTAAGTTTGTAGTATTACATTTTATTTAGTCTGTTTTAGGGTAGTTAGATCTGTGTTAAGTTTGTAGTATTACATTTTATTTGTCTGTTTTAGGTTAGATCTGTGTTAAGTTAGTAGTATTACATTTTATTTAGTGTTTTAGGTTAGATCTGTGTTAAGTTTGTAGTATTACATTTTATTTAGTCTGTTTTAGGGTAGTTAGATCTGTGTTAAGTTTGTAGTATTACATTTTATTTAGTCTGTTTAGGGTAGTTAGATCTGTGTTAAGTTTGTAGTATTACATTTTATTTAGTCTGTTTTAGGGTAGTTAGATCTGTGTTAAGTTTGTAGTATTACATTTTATTTAGTCTGTTTTAGGGTAGTTAGATCTGTGTTAAGTTTGTAGTATTACATTTTATTTAGTCTGTTTAGGGTAGTTAGATCTGTGTTAAGTTTGTAGTATTACATTTTATTTGTCTGTTTTAGGTTAGATCTGTGTTAAGTTTGTAGTATTACATTTTATTTGTCTGTTTTAGGTTAGATCTGTGTTTAGTTTGTAGTAATACATTTTATTTAGTGTTTTAGGGTAGTTAGATCTGTGTTTAGTTTGTAGTAATACATTTCATTTGTCTGTTTTAGGGTAGTTAGATCTGTGTTAAGTTTGTAGTAATACATTTTATTTAGTGTTTTAGGTTAGATCTGTGTTAAGTTTGTAGTAATACATTTTATTTAGTGTTTTAGGGTAGTTAGATCTGTGTTAAGTTTGTAGTAATACATTTTATTTAGTGTTTTAGGGTAGTTAGATCTGTGTTAAGTTTGTAGTAATACATTTCATTTGTCTGTTTTAGGGTAGTTAGATCTGTGTTAAGTTTTTAGTATTACATTTTATTTAGTGTTTTAGGTTAGATCTGTGTTAAGTTTGTAGTATTACATTTTATTTAGTGTTTTAGGTTAGATCTGTGTTAAGTTTGTAGTATTACATTTTATTTAGTGTTTTAGGGTAGTTAGATCTGTGTTTAAGTTTGTAGTATTACATTTTATTTGTCTGTTTTAAGGTAGTTAGATCTGTGTTAAGTTTGTAGTAATACATTTTATTTAGTGTTTTAGTGTAGTTAGATCTGTGTTAAGTTTGTAGTAATACATTTTATTTAGTCTGTTTTAGGGTAGTTAGATCTGTGTTAAGTTTGTAGTATTACATTTTATTTGTCTGTTTTAGGTTAGATCTGTGTTTAGTTTGTAGTAATACATTTTATTTAGTCTGTTTTAGGGTAGTTAGATCTGTGTTAAGTTTGTAGTATTACATTTTATTTAGTCTGTTTTAGGGTAGTTAGATCTGTGTTAAGTTTGTAGTATTACATTTTATTTAGTGTTTTAGGGTAGTTAGATCTGTGTTTAAGTTTGTAGTATTACATTTTATTTAGTCTGTTTTAGGGTAGTTAGATCTGTGTTAAGTTTGTAGTATTACATTTTATTTAGTGTTTTAGGTTAGATCTGTGTTTAGTTTGTAGTATTACATTTTATTTAGTGTTTTAGGTTAGATCTGTGTTAAGTTTGTAGTAATACATTTTATTTAGTGTTTTAGGGTAGTTAGATCTGTGTTAAGTTTGTAGTAATACATTTTATTTAGTGTTTTAGGGTAGTTAGATCTGTGTTAAGTTTGTAGTAATACATTTTATTTAGTGTTTTAGGGTAGTTAGATCTGTGTTAAGTTTGTAGTAATACATTTTATTTAGTGTTTTAGGGTAGTTAGATCTGTGTTAAGTTTGTAGTAATACATTTTATTTAGTGTTTTAGGGTAGTTAGATCTGTGTTAAGTTTGTAGTAATACATTTTATTTAGTGTTTTAGGTTAGATCTGTGTTAAGTTTGTAGTAATACATTTTATTTAGTGTTTTAGGGTAGTTAGATCTGTGTTAAGTTTGTAGTAATACATTTTATTTAGTGTTTTAGGGTAGTTAGATCTGTGTTAAGTTTGTAGTAATACATTTTATTTAGTCTGTTTTAGGGTAGTTAGATCTGTGTTAAGTTTGTAGTATTACATTTTATTTAGTGTTTTAGGTTAGATCTGTGTTAAGTTTGTAGTATTACATTTTATTTAGTCTGTTTTAAGTTAGTTAGATCTGTGTTAAGTTTGTAGTATTACATTTTATTTAGTGTTTTAGGGTAGTTAGATCCGTGTTAAGTTTGTAGTAATACATTTTATTTAGTGTTTTAGGGTAGTTAGATCTGTGTTAAGTTTGTAGTAATACATTTTATTTGTCTGTTTTAGGGTAGTTAGATCTGTGTTAAGTTTGTAGTATAACATTTTATTTGTCTGTTTTAGGTTAGATCTGTGTTTAGTTTGTAGTAATACATTTTATTTAGTGTTTTAGGGTAGTTAGATCTGTGTTAAGTTTGTAGTATTACATTTTATTTAGTGTTTTAAGTTAGATCTGTGTTAAGTTTGTAGTATTACATTTTATTTAGTCTGTTTTAAGGTAGTTAGATCTGTGTTAAGTTTGTAGTATTACATTTTATTTAGTGTTTTAGGGTAGTTAGATCTGTGTTAAGTTTGTAGTATAACATTTTATTTAGTGTTTTAGGGTAGTTAGATCTGTGTTAAGTTTGTAGTATTACATTTTATTTAGTCTGTTTTAGGGCAGTTAGATCTGTGTTAAGTTTGTAGTATAACATTTTATTTAGTGTTTTAGGGTAGTTAGATCTGTGTTAAGTTTGTAGTATTACATTTTATTTAGTCTGTTTTAGGGTAGTTAGATCTGTGTTAAGTTTGTAGTAATACATTTTATTTTGTCTGTTTTAGGTTACTCCTGTATTTAAGACTTTTTTCCTGCATGTCTGCATAAATATAGGTTATTGACCTGTTAAAGAAAGGAGATATACTAAAGATATACTAAAATGTAAAAACAAAAAAACGCCAGCAAAAGTCATAAGTTCATGTGTGCAATCTAATGTCATTAAGTGCCTGATTCTCCCAGGTCGAGCTGAATGTGTCTGTGTAAATGGCACTGTTGGGAATGGTACATTCTGTAGTAGAGACATCTTGGATGCCATCTCTAGGATAAGAAGTCTCAAGTACTTTTACAACTGGATGCTACATGATGTAAGCATAACATTTTTTTTTACTGTTTCATGCTGGTGAGAAATGTAGAACAGAATCATTGAATGAAAACAAGGTGCTGTTTTATTGTACTATAGGAGAAAATTAATCCCTGCACTAAAGGGTCCCCACTATCACTGCACTAATGGGTCCCCACTATCACTGCACTAATGGCTCCCCACTATCACTGCAGTAAAGGGTCCCCACTTTCACTGCACTAATGGGTCCCCACTATCACTGCACTAATGGGTCCCCACTATCACTGCACTAATGGGTCCCCTTATAATAAAATAACCCATCTCTTGTGTATCAACCTACCTCCTTATAATGTTTGTTCAAGTCACCTAAGTCATAATGTTGTTTGTTCAAGGCAGTGACAAGCAACATCAGTACCGTGCTGCAACAGATGAACCAGTCAATCACATTGTTCCTTCCTCTCAGTCAGGTAAGTAAGATACAAACACCTGCAGTCAGGTAGTTAAAACATTTATGTGCTTTCTAAATATTGGAGGGGGGGGGTTGTGAGAAAAGACAATTACCTAGACACTTTACATCAATAGATTAAAACTGGTATGTCCATTTTTTTTAAAAACAGGACTGGCAAAAATTAAATTTCTCTAGTTTGATGGTTGCTGGGAAGTCTGTACAGATTGGTGTAAACAGTCACTTGAGTCTCCTAGCTGTAGATGGTGAAACAATTAACATTACAGTTGATAACAAAGGGCAGGTAACTAGCATTTTTATGATGTCATTCTAGCAACAAGTTATCCTTATTTAGAAAAATATCCTTATTCTTATTTTCAAAAAGATGGAATCATTGGTATTATTTATAAAATAAGAACACTATAAAATATAATTTTTAAATCTTGCAAAAACCATATTTTCTATAGAAATTTTATTGACTCATTATTTAGTTTTTAAATTTTACCCTACATTTATTTATGTTATTTATAAAACTTTGCTCTCAGGTTTTTGCCAATAAAATTTTAGTGGTAGAAAAAAACATCCAGACTTTGAATGGAGTGTTACATCTTACTGCAGCCCCAATCATTGAATATGTAAGTTTGGCAACTTTCTCAAACATTTTCACAACTTGTAAGTTTGGTAACTTTCTCAAACATAAATGTATGCACTCGAGTTTTCTATTTAAAGTTAAAAAAATTTATGTACACATACATTTGTTGAAATTTTTATATAACCATTGATGACATTTTAGCTTAAATAAAGAAAATAATTTAACATAGACCAAAAATTTTCTTTGACAGCAGGTCATAGCCCAGACATCTGCCTCACGCTTGTTTAATAAAACACGAGTAAGTATAAGTTCAGATCTCACATTTAGAGAAAACTGTACAGTGTAAGTATAAGTTCAGATCTCACATTTAGAGAAAATTGTACAGTGTAAGTATAAGTTCAGATCTCACATTTAGAGAAAATTGTACAGCTTTTAAAGTAGCCAAATATATCGTCAACCCTCCCTTACTTTCTCTCACTCCATACCCTGACCTTCAACCCCAGACTCCCGTTTTTCTAAATTCATTAGACACCAACACCAGATGCCATGTTACGTAACATTACAAGCTAATTATCTCACAATTTTATTTCCCCACCAGACAACAACAATAGTTGTGTGTTTAGTGCTAGTAGCAATGGTTGGACTTCTTGTTGTGGCTGGTATCATTGTGTATAAGAAACAATACTACAAGGGCTTTCTGAACATTTTCAAGAGATCAGACTCTGTAAGTCTTCTTTAAATAATTACCTTCGTTGTTGATAGACTTGTAGCTTCACAGTTTTATTTTCTCTCTGTTTTATAACAGTTGTGTGAATAACTTTTATAAAATTAACTTTTTAAATACCCATATTGCTACAGTTATGTGATATAATAGTAATAAAATGGGTATTGTTAATATCCTCACAACCTCAAGACAATAACAGTGTGGTTAAAGATTGTCTTATATTTAACCACACTGTTGTGTGCTGCTGAAGACATTGGGTCAAAATGACCACTGTACCTGTTATTGTTGAATTTGTGAGGATACTAACACTAACCATTTTGTCACTATTTGCATGAACCTCATTGCAGCTATCATTTTTATCAGTGTTTCTTCCAGATTTTTTCCCATGGGGGGGGGGGTAGTAAAAGTATAAATTTTCTATATAAATTAAATTTCCATTTCGGGGGGGGGGGGGGGGGGGAAGAGATGCCTGGAAGAAACGCTGATCTTTATTTAATATAAATTTATAGTTTATGTGGAAAAACATTATTTTTCAATAAAGAAACTGATTAATGATTTTAAATTCATTGATGGGGAAATATGTTTACTTGAAATCACTAAAATAAATTGCTTATCCTTTTTTAAATCAATTTTAAATTTTTTTGTAGGGGTCTGAGAGTAATTTATCATTCGCTCGCCTAAGTGCACAAGAGGAAGATGACGACTCACTGAAAGACACAGCCAAATATGATAATCCAATTTTTAATGACCCAGATATTATGTAAAGCTATGATATTCTAATTTTAAGTGACCTATATGTTATTTTAAGCAATACATATTCTAATCCTATAGTTATTAGTTTTTATAATAGGCCTACATGTGCTAAACTTGTGGTTCAACCATATTAACTTGTGTATGTCTTATTAAAAAAAAATATTTCTTTACTTGTTGAAAACTTAAGTTTTTTCTTTTGTTTTTAATTCTTGTGAAGTTATAATTGGGGGACGGCATGGTCTAGCAGTAGAGAGCTAGATTGCTAACCCAAGAGTCTTGAGTTCGTATCCGGATTCAAGTCAGTAGAATGTCCCTGAGTCCACCCAGCTCTGATGGGTACCTAACTCACATTAGGAAACAAAGGTAGCTGGGCATAGTGCTAACCATGATATCTCTTCATATGCTGAGGTCTTTGAAGCAGATGAGCTCTACTTCATCTGTCTTGGGCAAGAACGGGAAATGATGAAGTTATAATTATTTTTATCTTCACGTAGTATAATTCAATTTAACCATTATATGATTATATTTCCCGCAATTCACTTTAATTTTTATGTGATTTTAAGTTCTCACAATTAACATTGATTGCATTGAATCCAACAATAAAATTGGCCTTTTTGTGATTACATTTAAACATGCAGTGTTCCATTTATTGACAGTGGTTATGTTGGGATTAAATCAGCAGCATACACAGTGGACTGTACTGTAGACTACTTATGAAGGGTGTCTGAATATATCAATGTAGCAACTCAGAATATAGCCTGAAGCAACACAACTTAAAATTGATTTAATAGTTTGAGTTCCTCTTTCAGACCTAACCATCCTTAGGGCAGATGAAGTAGAGTTCATATATTTCTTAGCAAAGGAAGGGATGATGTGGTCAGCACTCTGCCTGTCTTTTCTTTTCCTAATGTGAGTCAGGTAGCCTACGGTCCTAAAAACAGAGCTGGGCGGATTCTGGAACATCCTCAAATCTCAAGCCCAGGCCAAGATCAGAACTTGAGATCTTTGAGGTTTGCAGTCCAAACACTCTATCCCCTGACCACACCATTCCCAAATTAAATAACAAGGACTGGCATAATATTACAAAATTCATGTAGGCCTTTATATGTTTCAAAACAATTTGACCACCCATCTGTTTTGAGTTGGTGGTTAGAGTGATTTCCCTTGTGAATAAATCCTACTAGTGTTCTTGACTCCATAATCTAATGCGGGCAAGAGACACTTTTTTATCAGCTTATATTGTGACATGTTCAGATATTATGTGGTATTTAACTAGCAATGTAATATTAGCTTGAAATTTAATAAAATAATTTTTTTTTCATGTTTTAAAATTCTGCTTTACAAGTATAAGATCTATGTACTATTCATTGTATCTACCTTATCTATGCACTGTAATTTAAACCAAACTAAACAGCATAACAATTTTTAATAATAAAATGTTTATTAAATGCCTTTAGGTTTTTTTTTTTCAATTAAATTTGTTTGCCATTTTATTTTGTGCAAATAAAAATTTAGTTTTGTCCCTTGTATTTCAAATAGAACATGTATAAGAGAAATTTTTGGTTGTTTTATTTCCTTTTGATAAAAAATCAAACTTTATTTGCAAACTTTGTATGTGTCATGTAAGAAACTGAAAGCACCCCTCGGCAAAATATTGCTTACGAATCTTTCACATTACCAATGATGTCTTTAAATTTAATAATATAAATACACTGGCTACAATATATATTGGGATAATTTAAATTGGTCCTTGTTTGATATCAGTATTTTATGAAAATACTCTTCCAGTGTTGTCATAGCAACACTTGGATATACAGCCACTCACATACATACATAGTCCACTCACATACATAGTCCACTCACATACAAACATAGTCCACTCACATACATACATAGTCCACTCACATACATAGTCCACTCACATACATAGTCCACTCACATACAAACATAGTCCACTCACATACATACATAGTCCACTCACATACATAGTCCACTCACATACAAACATAGTCCACTCACATACATAGTCCACTCACATACAAACATAGTCCACTCACATACACAGTCCACTCACAAACATAGTCCACTCACATACATAGTCCACTCACATACAAAAATAGTCCACTCACATGCATAGTCCACTCACATACAAACATAGTCCACTTACATACATAGTCCACTCACATACATAGTCCACTCACATACATAGTCCACTCACATACATAGTCCACTCACAAACATAGTCCACTCACATACATAGTCCACTCACATACATAGTCCACTCAGATACAAACATAGTCCACTCACATACATAGTCCACTCACATACATAGTCCACTCACATACATACATAGTCCACTCAAATACATACATAGTCCACTCACATCCAAACATAGTCCACTCACATACAAACATAGTCCACTCACAAACAAACATAGTCCACTCACATACATAGTCCACTCACATACATAGTCCACTCACATACATAGTCCACTCACATACAAACATAGTCCACTCACATACATAGTCCACTCACATACATAGTCCACTCACATACATAGTCCACTCACATACATAGTCCACTCACATACAAACATAGTCCACTCACATACATAGTCCACTCTTATACATAGTCCACTCACATACATAGTCCACTCACATACATAGTCCACTCACATACATAGTCCACTCACATACATACATAGTCCACTCACATACATAGTCCACTCACACACATACATAGTCCACTCACATACATAGTCCACTCACATACATAGTCCACTCACATACAAACATAGTCCACTCATATACAAACATAGTCCACCCACATACATAGTCCACTCACATACATAGTCCACTCACATACATAGTCCACTCACATACATAGTCCACTCACATACAAAAATAGTCCACTCACATACATAGTCAACTCACATACATACATAGTCCACTCAGATACATAGTCCACTCACATACATAGTCCACTCACATACATACATAGTCCACTCAGATACATAGTCCACTCACATACAAATATAGTCCACTCACATGCATAGTCCACTCACATACATAGTCCACTCACATACATAGTCCACTCACATACATAGTCCACTCACATACATAGTCCACTCACATACATAGTCCACTCACATAGAAATAAATGAACAACAAGTTTATTAATTTGATAACATTCTTGTACTTATATTATCTGATCCACTTATTTTCTCGGGAAAATTCTTCCTGTGTGGATCTAATTTTTTAAATCAAAGTAATAGCTAAATGTTCCAAGCCTCATCACAAACGATTCCGTTCAGAAAACAGGAGCAAGTGCGGTTAACGACCTCTCCTTCAGCGTAAATGTTACCGTTCTTGCAGCATCAGCCTCTTAAACAAGGAAGAAGATAGTTTTTCAAGTCCTTTATGTCATTGATATAGATCTATGCTAATTTGTCTTAATGCAAGGGTAAGAAAGTATTTTTACAAGTCCTTTATATCATTGATATATGCTAGTTTGTCTTATTACAAGGTAAGAAAAAATCTTTTTACAAGTCCATTATATCATTGATATATGCTAATTTGTATTAATATTTTAAAACAAGGGTAAGAAAATATTTTTACAAGTCTATTTTATCATTGAATTAGTCTTAATATTTGTATTAACTAGTTCTTAAAACTGTATTCTGTTTTAAATTCACATTTTAGTTCTTATAGTCAAATAATTTCTATCTCATTACAGTGTATTTCTATGTTCCTTTTTAAATGAATTAAAATGTACGAGTTATGGCCTCTTATTTTTATTTCACAACGAAACAAGGGAAATTATCCGTTACTGCAACTTACCAACCAACGTCAACATCAAGAATTGATGCCGGCGAGCAAATAAAGAACGTTCACAAGAAATTGTTTCATGTTGGTTTAGCTGTAGTGTGCTGGAGCAGAGTAATGTTTGTTGGGCAAGACACAAGTAGACAGTGGCATATGTAATAGATGATTGCATGTCTGGTGGTGGGGGGAGGGGGGCTTCCAGCTGTGGGAGGGGGTAGGGGTTGGGCATCCAGCTGAGGGAGGGGGTAGGGGTTGGGCGATGAGGGCTACAATCTCCCACACAGTAGAGATTTTTTTTTTTTACCGCGGGTAGTAGATCCCTTGGCTCAACCTACAGCTCGAGTAAAAATATCTCGATGGCTCAATTGTCAAATCATATAGTTAACATTAGGGGAGAGACTGCGTATGTTACGTCTAGTCGGGCCATGGAGGAGCGACGCGAGTATCCCGCAGTTTTCAGAGACTCTTAGTTTGCCTAAATTTGGGACCTTTGCTGGAAAACATGTCATATAGTCTTTTTAAATGATAATGTGTGTGGGGGGGGGGGGGGGTGCCACGAGTGGACTACAACGAGTGACACACAAAGCTAGTGAGGCCACTGTTCCATCCAACTTGCATGGGACGGACTATAAAAATTATTGTCACACTACACCATCGGAATATAAAAATTATTGTCACACTACACCATCGGAATATAAAAATATTGTCACACTACACCAGCGGACGATAAAAATTATTGTCACACTGCACCAGCGGACGATAAAAATTATTGTCACACTACACAGCGGACA